TTTTACTAGTAACTTCAAAAGTTTTAAAGTTTCCCAAGTTGATTTTGGTCCGGTAGTTTTCCTTTTATGACCATTTCAAAGTGGAACTTTAATATAACCACCATGTAAATAAACTTTAAAAGTCTGACAGTTTGGTTCAAGTCCCAGCTTTAAAAAATATATATATAAATATAATTTTTATATTAATTCCTCTTAGAAAGAATGTTTTAAGAAGCTAATTTTTCTCTCGCGTTATAGATTGTATAAAAAAACATGATCTTTAATATGATTTAGATTGTTTCAGCCGATATAAGAATCGGGTTACTCTGTGGTACAGAATAAACCCTTGCTGGACTGTTTTATTTCTTTGTCATTTAGCAAAAATCTTTTAATTAAAATATTTATCCTTTGGACTTCGCTTTAAACTTTATTTATAGCTAAAATGACTAGAAAATGAAAAGCTGTCTTTAGCTGAAACGCAATTCATATAATTGATATTTTAAAAAATTGACAAGAATGCAAAATTATGGAAGTCTAGCAGTCGAAAAATCTTAATTTTCTTGTGTGAGCACTGAAAATAACCGTAGAAGGAAAGAAGAAAATTAGGGAGAAAAGTAAGCAAAAAATTTGCAGGGAAATTTGGCTGTCTGACGTACCAAGATGTTTCAAAAAGTTGGACGCTTTTGTATATACTTTCAGGATACTTCAAAGAATTTAGGTGTTCAAAGAGAAAACACTTGGACGTGTACACCAGCAAATACCATCAATTGAGCTTGTGGTTAACAGAAAAGACAAAACGATATCATTGCAGATTAAAGTGAAGAGCGACTGGTTTTTTAAACTATATGGTGTGTGTAAATTACGTTATAGAACATCATATCGTATCATAAATGGTGAATCCCATGATTTTCTAGTCGAATTATTTGAAGATTCAGGAGTTTATCCAGTGATGTATGTGGATGTCACCTAAAGATGTTTTTTTTCCCTTCCTGATGAAACAGCGGCCGAGCGGTAAAGTCGCTGAACACTGGTAGTTCGGTCCGAGGTTCGAATCCCGCGAAACGGGCTGGCTGCATGGGCGTTTTCGTGGTTTTTCCCCATGTGTAACGTGTATGCGAGCCAGTTTCCCTTAGAAAGTCCTCCAGGAAGGCATCCCTCCCCTTAGGCAGATAGCCGTAGTGTGCTTTGTCATAATAAAATAAACCAAAACCTCTTGATTGATGAAACCAGTCTTTCCTTTCATCTCATAGCTTCAAAATGTTTAGCCTCTAAAGACTGATAAAGGCTCTGACGAAATACTTCGTGAAGAACTTTCTAAGGGAAACCAGCTGTCATACGCGGTACACATGAGAAAATCCACGAAAACGCCCATGCAACCAGCCCGTTTACCGGGGTTCGAACCCTGGAGTGAGCTACCAGTGTTCAGCAACTTTACTGCTCGGCCGTTTGTGGGCCTTTATGAAATGGAAGGCGATAACTTTATTTAAAATGATTGTCAGAAATACCAAAATGTTTCGAAAAGTTGGATACTTTTCAATATACTTTCAGAATGCTTAAAGAAAAGAGAAGAAAAAATAAATTTTTTCGTAAAATTTAGTATTCGTATTTTTTTAAATTTAAAACTTTTCAATCTTATGATATTTGATTTCTTGCGATTTCAAAAATAAAATATTTGACTAAAATATGAATAACATTTTAAGAAGAACCAAATGTAGGATAAAATTGTGTAAAGCAATGGGACACAATGATAAAAACTGTTTTAAAGCAGTGTATGCAAGTCATCCTAAGTTAAAATATCGGTTATACATCTCTCTTATTTATATATATTTTTCTGAACGGAACATTGAAAGGCGTGAACAAACTGTGCTTTACTGCATTTCTCTTTTAATATAGTATGCAGTTTTCAAACGCATCGTAGTCTGGGTTACAAAGTATTCTTCCGAAAAAAACGCAGTTCAAATAAATAAAATCAAATTCTGGAAAATTGATATTAATAAATATATTTAAAATGCTCAGTTCGAAGGAATAAATAGAAAATTTTAAAAAACAGTTATCTGAAGAGACAATGCAACACAAACAATTAAAATAAAAGTATAAAAATTTAAAAAATGACCTAAAATAATAGCTATGACGAAAAGTATATATAAAGAAAACTATTTGAAAAAAAAAATAAACGCTGCAACCTTTATTTACGCAGTTCGAATAGGTAAATAGAAATTTTTAAAACAGTTATTCGAAAAAAAAAAAAAAAATGTGCAACTTAAACAATTAAAATGAAATTCGAAAAGAAAAAATTACTTAAAATAATAAGTTATAATTAAAAATATAATATAAAGAATATTATTTGGAAAAAAGGAACGATGGTGACTTTTTTTCTCTCACGGAAAGGAAACTAGGTTGCCATATATTAAGAAGTTCGCCAAGTGAAGTATTCTTGCCGCAAACTGACAAAAAAGTGCCAACATAAATTTGTGAATTTCTCCGTAAATTTCGCTCCAAATTTTACAAAATTTCATATTTAGGCGTAATTTGAGTCATAGAATTGAAATATGTAAAAAAAGTGGTATGTTATTTCAGAAAAAGTCCGATTTTGTGTCAAAATACCTATGTTAGAATAGTGCTATATATAAATCTAATATATATCCTAAGTCGCGCTTTCGAGACATGAAGAACGCAATTTGAATTTTGTCAATCGGCCCAGTAGATTGGGAGATATAGGACTGTCCCATTTTTTTTTTTGAGCAGTGTACCAAGTACATTGAGACATTTGTCATATCGCTTGATAAGCTTCAAAAAGCCCTCCAGGAAAAAATCAGGGCTTTGCATATGGAAGAAGCGTTGAACGGCTTGTTTCACTTCAGTATTGCTACCAAAGCGCCTATCCCTGAGATTTTTCTTCAAAGCCGGAAACAGATGGAAGTCGCTTGGTGCGAGATCAGGACTGTATGGCGGATGGTGTAGGCACTCCCAACCAAGAGTTGCAATATGGTTTTACGTTGCCGTCGCCGAATGTGGTCTGGCATTGTCATCCAACAGCAGAACGCCAGATGTGAGAAGGCCAGGCCGCTTTTTCCAAATCGCCTCTTTCAATTTCGACAGGGTGTCACAGTAGTGCGTAGCAATGATGGTTCCAACCTCCAAAAAGTCCAGCAACAAAACTCCTTGGGCATCCCAGAAAACTGTGAGGACACTTTACCGCAGAGGGAGTTGTCTTGAACTTCTTTCGGACAGGTGATGACCGATGTGTCCACTCCATAGATGCGGCCTTCGATTCTGGCGTGAAATGGTGGACCCACGTTCCATCCCCCGTCACAATCCGAAACAGAAAGGCATTGCCATCTTCATGGTAACGCACGAGATATTCCAGGCTAACCCCCATGCATTGTTCCCTGTGTGTCAAGGTCAATTGTCGGGGCACCCATCGTGCTGACACTTTTCTGTATCGAAGAATGTCATGGATGATGTTTTGAGCTCGCTCATGTGAGATTCCAAGTTCTTCCGCTACTTCATCGATGGTGATACGCCGGTTCGCTCTAATCATTTCATCCACCTTCCTGACATTTGCATCTGTAGTGGCCGTGCACGTCCGTCCAGCTCTCGGTATGTCCTCCACTTGCTGACGTCCATCACTGAATGTGCGACACCATCTCCGCACCATTTGCTTCGACATCACACCTGGCCCATAGACTTCCACGAGGCGGTTATGAATTTCTGTTCCTGATACTCTACGTGCCCATTCATAGCGGATAACCGCTCTCACTTCCTCCTTTGACCACGAATTCAAAATGCACCTTCTCTCCATACCTACCGGGGCTCAAATGAGTGGCTGGTCTCCGCTTTGCGCAAGCACTGCAACAGCGCCATCTGCTTGATTTGCAGTGACCTCTACCCAATGGTGTATCGGTGACAGCGGCGTTTTCCTGCTGTGTCACCTTTCACCCATAGCCGTTCAACGCTTCTTCCATATGCAAAGCCCCGATTTTTTCCTGGAGGGCTTTTTTAAGCTTATTAAGCGATATGACAAATGTCTCAATGTACTTGGTACCTATGTGGAAAAATAAAGGTATGTCATATCTTTAATGTCTCATTCTATTTTTTGACTTTCATACACAACTCTGACCACAGTCGACAGGGGAAACTTATTTTTCAACTTACTTACGTATATCGATGTGTACACGGACAAAGTAAAGGGAGTGCGCAATGCAAGTTTGTGCAATTCTGGGATTTTTTTTTAAAGTGAAAATAGGTCGACGTGTATACATGGATAAAGTTAAAAGAGTGCGCAATGCCATTTTTGTGCAATTTTGGGATTTTTTTTAAAGTGAAAATAGGTCGGCGTGTACATGGATAAAGTCAAAGGAGTGCGCAATGCCATTTTTGTGCAATTTGGGGGGGGGTTAAGTGAAACTAAGTCGATGTGTACATGGATACCGAGTTTGTGCAATTGTTTGTCTTATTTTGGCTTTGTGTGCGGCGATTTTTGGTGCAAAAATCGCTGCGTCGCAAGCCAAAATAACGAGTCAAAGAATTGCACAAAATCGGTATCCATGAGCCGCCAAAAATCGCCAAGGGGTACCCTAAACTTTACTTTTGCCCAAAATTTAAAAAAAAAAAAAAAAATTATTGCTTATCAAAGAGGCACCCAATTCTACACTAGAGCCCATACTTCAAATTTAGTTAGCATTTAACATTTGAAATATGTTAAGCTCCTATTTTTACAGTAAATTCATCAGAGCTTTCCGAACAGAATGTTTGCTCTTGTTCATTCTTTTACTTACAGAAAAATATTAAAATATACCAGAAAAATTAGGTGCATTAATTAAAATTTAATCATAACGAAGGCATCCAGTAAAAATATTAATGTTATGATATTGTTAGACTTCAACTACTTCATTGCTTTTATCATTCTACAAGCATTATATATCAGTTAGGCTTAGAATGTCTACCATAAAATTCACATTTCATACATTTTTTAGAATTATACTAAGCAATTTAATTTTTAAAAAGGAATTTAAACTAACCTTTCTTTTTCTGGCTGTCATCATACATAGGAGAATTTCTTGTGCAGCCATTTCTTGAGGAAGAGGGTGTTACAAATGCAGAAACCCTATCTGAATTAACAGGCCCTGCACTACTTTCCTTACGGACAGTTGACTGAAGAAGTTTCAAGTTCTTTATGTCATGCGTGCTAATTAAAAATGCACAAATAATTAAAACAGATCAAATACATTTTTTTAAAAGTGATAAAAAATCTATACAACAGTAAAATATACTATAGAAAAAATAAAGATGTAAATTTTATTGTAACTGCATTCTAAATACATTAAATAAACTGAAAACTAAACAATTTGGTTAATCTTTGGATTATAGTAACTTGGTAATTTTTTGGCGAAAATTTGGCAACCAACCCTGCTACAGCAACCTGCTAGTTTCGTTTTGGACGCCATTTTGTTTTCACGAAGTAAAGGCATGTTTTTTTTTTTTTTACTCAACATTTTTTCCAACAATCTGCTAGCCGAATTATGCTTATACTAGAAATTTTATGGAACAAAAATGCTTAATCATGACGAAGATTAGGTGTGAAATTGGGAGAAAGTGGAAAATCGCAAACTGCTTGCCGCGTTTTTAAGAATTGCACATACACGGTATCATCCATGTACACGTCGACCTATTTTCACTTAAAAAAAACAGAATTGCACAAAAAAGGCGTCGTGCACACTCGACTTTATCCATGTACACTACTAAAGTCCTAGCTAGTAACTTTTATCGCCTTACCAAAATGTTGCCAAACTACTTGTTACCATATTCCAAAGATTAGCCTACAATTCTTATTTTCTAAATAGATGTTTAAAATTTTAACTTACTGTTTCGCAAGCATTTTTGTTTTAAAATTTTAACCCACTGTTTCTCAAGCATTGGCTCCTTTGAACATTTTTGTAACATCCCCTACTTGTTTTTCCAAGATCAATACAAGATATATACAAAATGCGAGATCCAGAATCATTTGGACTTCGGCAATTCCAGATTTTGGAAATTTATGGATTTTAGGTCATCAGTTTAACAGTTTAAATCTTGTATAATGACATGTAATAATTTTAAAATTCAAATATAGAACAGCTCAGAAGTCAAACAACAAAAATCAGCGTTATATTTTCAAATTTTCACAGGACTAGTTTCGATGGTTTTACAGAATCATCATCCTCAGCTGCAAAAGCGCAAATTAAAAATGATGATGTATTTGTTCAGCATGTTATTGTGTCTTAATTATGAAACGGTTATTTATAAAATTATGAAGCATTTATGATTTTAAGGGAAATTAATAATAGCATGTGCTAATATATTTTTAAAAATAAATAAGAAATGGAATTATTGGAAACTAGAAATTCAATATGGCCAGGAGAGTCTGTCACTAGCATGGACACTTTATAGCTGACAGTAGGAATTTACTCAACTCCATCCCAATTTTGAGACAAAATCCCAACATTCAACATAAATCCCATAGGATATGGATCTTGTGCATGCTGTACATTTGTAAACTTCTGCAAGATTCAAACCTAAATGCAAGGATAAGGTAGGTAGTATCGCCACTGATCAGAGTGCCTTATCTATCTTATATCATTCTTCTGCTGTTAATATTAATTAAATTTATTTTTGAAGATAATGCAATTATACTCAGTTAATAAATTTAAATAATATTAAAAAAGACATTTATTTCTTTTCAAAAAGTTATCAATATGAGCAATAAATATAATATTTTAATTTCTTCAACATAAATGTTATATTTATGTATAATATAGTTATAATAATTTATCTTAGCACTAACGTGATAATAATATTTCAATATTTAATGAATAAGATGGACGAGCTAAGTGAAAAATTAACAGAATATTAAGCTTCATTAATAAACGCTGCATATCATTTATTTTCAAGAATAACATGCAATTGCTTTTTCTTGTCAAAAACAACATAAGGCACCAAAATATCATTACTAAAAATTTGTATAAATATTTTTTTTCTCATCTTTATCCTCGATTTAATAATGAATAACATTATTAAGTGCTCACAATATAAATGTTTCAATATCATTACAGGTAATCACGAAAAAAATCTCGAAATATAATAGGGAAAGAAATGTCAGAATATTTACTTAAGAGTAATCTCTGGAACTTGACACTTAACACCATTTCTGCTAACATTAATTAATGATATAGTTTGATTTAGGCTATCAACGTTAGATATTTCACCTTCAAACACTCCCAGAACATCTCCACAGTCAACAGATATAATGCTACCTATCCACATATCCGACATCGTGCACGATGCTAAAAGAAAAGTAAAAGATCATTTAAATATAACAAAAACTGGGTGGCACACATAACCCACGTACTCTTCAAACGTAAGGAAAATAAAGGAAACAAATATTTTAATCACAATGAAGCTATTCAAATATTTACAAAATAAATGAATTTGTATTACAGAATCACACAATACAGTGTTTCTAAAAACAAAAAAAGTTAAAATTCTGCTCACATATTGCTGCAAAAATAAAGAAAAAAAAATTAAATTATACTGGTAAAAAATTTTAAACAAAATAAAATATTTTGTAAATTAAATGAAATAATTAAAATCATTATACTGAAAAATGACAACAGAAATGTTTCACTGGAACTACCTATACCTAATTTCTAGAATACGAGAGTTCAAGACATACCACCACTTCCAAGAGTAAGTACGATGTTTACAATATAAATAACATTTTAAACAATTTCTGAATTTAATACGTACGCAAATGACAACAAAACAAATACTTCTTCTTCACCCGAAAAGTTGCTATGTACTTTTTTATCATACTTTATTTCTCCTTAAAGTATGATAAAAAAGTACATAATAGCTTATCAAGAAATATTTAAATCATAAAATAAAAATTATTATTTTTTCCTATCAGAAATCACCATAATTTTAATTAATTAAATTATGATGACAAATTGTGTTTTTCCTACATTGTCTGGATAAAACATAAACAACTCAATCCTACGTTTGATCTAGCGCAGAGGAAGAATCTGTCTATGGGATATTTATGTGTTATAAAGGAAGTTAACTATTATCAGTACTAAGGCTATATGTATGTTTTAAGAAAGAATTTTTATACGTGTTCGATAAAATATTATTAAGGCTTGTGTTCTTTTAATATATTATTTCTCATAGTATTATTTGAAATGTGGATATTTTTAGAGTTGTGAGTAGTGTGCAGTTAACTAAGTTCAGTATGCATTTAAGAATTTTCTGAAAGCTATAGATAGAAAATAAGGTACTTTATTTCCTTTTATATCCTTTCATTTTATATATATGTTAAACATTTGAATTTTAATATTCTCTGAGGATTTAGTGCAGTAAAACCTGGGCCATTCATCATCCAAAATATTCATGAACCGAAATATTGTTTCCCATAGAACCTGGATCACAGATTACTGTTTAAATAAATTTTACAACAGTAATTTGTGCACAAAATCATAAACCAAAACTAATTAAAATGATTAAATATGGAACAATAAAGAGATTAACGGACACAACATTAAACGGATAACATAAGCAAAAAGCTAGTTTAATTTTGCTGTACCTTTACATAGGAGATTAGATGGCGTAAGTGAGGGAGACGGAAAGGATACAGATTTTTACACTTTTAAAGCTGATTTATCGTAAGAAATTGTCCAATGTGAATAACAAAACATTTTATAGGATACTGTATAAGTGTATTTTTAGGACTTGCATGGAAATGTTTTATGTGTCTTCTGTATATTTGAAAAATGAAAAGATATGTAATGTATTTAATGTTTTTAATTAAATGCATTTTTAAGTTAATGAAATAAAAAAATAATCTGTATATGTTCTTAAGAACTTATTGCTTTTAAAGGTAATTATGTAGTATGGAGTCTACTCTCCTTTTAATTAGTTATTTCTTAAGTGGTGCCACCAAAACGTTATTTTTAAATTCAAACTAGCGATAAAACAGCAGAAAACAAAATTATTAAAAATATTGTTTTATTATTGCCATCTAAAAAATAAAAGTGATAGGTCACATACTATATGATTATTCTTATAAATAGCTTAGCTTTCTAATCAATAACAGACAGATTTAATTTGAAAGATAAATATCTTACATTTTGTTAAATGGCAACAGACTCAAATGAAAAGTGGAAGGTTGCAAAATCACATTTTGAGACAAATAGCCCTTTTGAGCTAATAATAAGGAAGAGGGTATTGTTTGTAGACAAAAATTCCATGTCATAAAAACTATCAGGTTTGTCTTCGGGAAGTATCTTGGTATTTTTCGGTTATGCACCTGCCACATTTTTTGTCTAGTTTTTTAAATTATAAGTGGTACCATTTGTAAGAATAATTTATAGATAATAATTTAGTATTACAAATAGCATTAGACAGAGACATAAGTTTGCAAGTATCCACTAGTAGGGCAGAAAACATTTTAGCTTTCGAATATGAGGTCACACAACATGAATTTTACCATGTAGAGTTAGAGCAATGCCTCTTTGGCATTTATTCCAACATTTAGTGCTGTCCCAAAATCGTTTGATAGATTGAGTATGAGAACTTGTGACTTGGTCATTAAAATTAAACAATTAATTTACTGTGATTATATCCTGCAGCTCTTAACTTAGATGATTTGTAACCTTTCCAGCAGTCTGAAAATATTGTTGTTCCATGTCATGTATTATTCTCTGTTACATCCAGTAAAGTCTTAACATAGTGATATAAAGAAGTGACACCGTTCGCACCACAAATAAATAAATTGTAGACAGGTGAAAAATGTAATATGCGAGTTCTTGAATCATGTTCCTTTTCATATGTGTTTTTGCTTCTCTGCATGACCGGAGAGAGTTGAACTGTTTAGCCTTCTGCAAATTTTTTACTTTCATAGGATGCTTATTCAAACATAGTCTTTCTTTATTGATAGATTTTTATCAAGATTGTAATTGCTGCTCATTCCTTGCTTGGTAAATCCTAAATTTTTAAATGTGTTGTAGTAAAATACAAAAATTGAATGCACAAACCAATGAATTTTAAAGAAGTGAGAAATAAATGGTGCATGAGCAAGGAATCAACAAATGGTTTGGTTCCTAGATGTAGATAAATAGTTAAATAAATTTAAATTAATATAAATTTCAAATGGTAAACGTAACATTCCTTTCCATTATGCACTTGTCACACTTTATGGCTTATGGCAGGTGATGATCTATTGGCCATCATCTACCACATGGTGTGTGTGTTTGTCATCAGTAAACTATTGCTATCAATAGAAACTGAGTACATTTAAAAGAACTGGACAAAATGCATGGCAAGCACATAACAGAAAAGTACCATCATCTTTTATCTTTCATTTCCTGTTAGTGCCACTTTGCTGAAGACTCATTAGGCTATTATTTCATTCAAAATTTATTCAATATGTGTATTATCTATGCTTTAAAAATGCTTCTAAAGGAAGACATGGCAATGTCATTGAAATGCTTAATGCAGTAGCTACTGCTTTTCCAAGTTGATTTTGCTACATGAAAACTGCATGCTATCCCAGTTTTGCACATATTTACAAAGTAGAGAACTAGAATAATTTTTTTTCTTCCTCTTTTGAAGATATTTCTTATACGATCACCTTTTCTAGTTTCATTTAAAAATGTTGTAGTTTTTTCTCATTGAACTCATTTTGATGATCCTCCCGTATGCTTAAAAAAACTCGTATCTTTTCCAAAACTTTAAAAATACATATATACATTTAATTAGATTTAGATTATTTTTAACATATTGTTACAGATTTTGTACTTAGATAATTAATTTTCGTAGAATTATAATTAAAATTGTATTTCCCCGTGCAATGCAGTGCAAGACAAATTTTAAGAGAAAGCTATGCAGAAAAAGTAAAAATACTGGAGGACATGCATTTAACATTGAATAAATGGATATCTCTGCAATTTATTTTTAAATTAAATAAATGTAATTGTCCTTTAGGTTAGCTGTAACCGTAATTCCATCCTCTTTTTGCTTACCAGAAATCTCGAGAAGCAGAAAATACTGGAAATATCTCGAGAGTGGTTGAAAGCTATAAAAGATGGTGAGAAAGCATCTTGAGTTCAGTTGCTGAGTTATTGTTGTTGCAATTTGTTCAGTTTTGCATGAACTGAGATATCTGAATTAGCTTTCTCTTTAGATAACATGTTGCATTACATTGTATTTAAACATTTTTAGTAGCTTGAAGTATAACTATTGATTACACTGCGTGATATTGTGAACACTTGTACAAATATCTTTGAAGATTCAAGCATTCTCATATATTTCTTTTGATAAGAATAAATTTTATTAACTTATTATTGCACTTGTGCATTCAATCTATTACGAATCCGTATGCACGCAAGAATATTTTATAAATTAAGCAAACAAATATAATAAATTTCAAAACTTGAATAAAAGTAGTTTTTTTTTTTTTTTTATTCATAAACTAAAACTAAATTTTTAACAAGTAAATAAAAGATTGCATGAAACTGTGAAATTCCCTTCTCCCAGGAGGTCTTCCTTACTTGTTGAGAATTTCTGCTATAGTAACCTTTTGACATCTTTGTTACTAATTTCCTTTCCCATGATTTTGCCTGGAGACAGAATAGCATAGATCAGCGGTTCTTTACAGCGGTACCTTTACGCTAACACGTACCATCTGAACAAAAATTGAAACCTTTAGTTCCCCCACTAGAAAATATTAGTACCACCAGTCTTGAACAAAGCTCAGCTCATATAAATTTACGAGTGTTAGAGAAAAAAACTCAATCAGGATGTTGGGGTTTTAATTTTTGACTTTAATAATTAAAAATACTTTGCTTCTTTGTGTACCACCTATTCTTCTCCTGTGTACCATCGGTTGAGAACCCCTGGCATAGATAACAAAAATAGTTTTTAAGTATTAAAATCTGTGCCTGGAACCCAATCTGGTTATAATTTTCTTCAGACCAAATTTAGGATCCTTCAAGTCTGCTACAAGGTTTTGTTAATGAGAATTGTGTAGTGGAATATATGAAAGTACTATTTTCAGGAGTTAAGTAAGTTTTATTTATATGATATAGGTTACTGAAGATGCCTTTGAAAAATCATGTTGCTGACCTGAGTAATCGTAACTTGAGACACCATTCATCCAAGACATTTTTTGTTCAGATAATTTGTACCCAAAGTAAGGCCTTCATGATCAGAAGTTCCACTGGATTTCTGTTAATATGCAAATAGCAATTGCTAATGCTAGCTTCACTTCTATAACTCTGATATATATTGTTACAAGGCAGTGCTGAATTTCTTTAAGCATAAAGTTTATGTGGGTTATTTAAATAAATAATTTTTTGTTTTGAAGGTGTAAAGTTAAAAATGCCAAAAAAGTTTGGATCTAATACCAAGTCTGTTGAGGCACGAGAAAGACGTGAAGCGGTCAAAGCTGCTGAGAGGGAGCGAAAAGAAAGAGAAGCTGAAGAGGCTTTGTGGAAGGATGATGATAAGCATGTGTTGCGTAAACAACAAAGAAAGGTACATTTCTTCCTGACACTGAAAAATGTGTATTAGTTACTTTACAATAATTTTTTTTAACATGTGTAAATCGATCAGGAACAATATTCCTTTTGTGAGGTTTCATTACATGATGATAAAAAAGGAATTTTTATCACAGACATAATATATATAAATTTGTGTGAGTATATACAGTACAAAGTCCGAGATGCAGACTCGTTGGGACATTGGCAATTCCGGATTTGGGATTTTTCCATATATTGGTTTGGTTTGGTTTATTAGGTTACTACAAAGCACTCAAGGGCTATCTGCCTTAAGGGAGGGATGCCTTCGTGGAGGACGTTTTAAGGGAAACTGGCTCATATACACGTTACACATGGGGAAAACCACGAAAACACCCATGCAGCCAGCCCTTTCGCGGGATTCGAACCTCGGACCGAACTACCGGTGTTCAGCAACGTTGCCGCTCGGCCGCTGGTGGGCTTTCCATATATTAGATCATTAGTTTAAATCTAGTAAGATGGCATGTAGAAATTATAAAATTAAAAATATGAAATCATAATTTGTGAAATAATGAGTATTAATCATCTAAAGAGTCTATAAAAAAAAGCTTGAGATTTATATATTTACTTTATTAAACATGTCTTTCAATGTAAGTTGCTTCATTTTTAATACTTTTCCTTTAATTCTGTAAACAGACGTAATTTCTTGTTTAGTTACATTGTTGAAGTCCTGTAACTGCTGTAGGGATAATTCTGACTAATGTTCATTTTCAGTAACCTCTCTATTACTTTCTTCACTATTGGTAACGGTATTTTCTTGATCTAGAACCATACTGCATATTTTGTCATCCATTAATTGACTGATGATTGAGGAGCATTGTCATGACAATGAAAATCTTTTATATCATCTTCATTTATTACCGCTTCTCCACATTTCTTTACAAAATCCGTTAATTGGAAAATATCACCTTTAGTTTGCGATATCCAAAATTCTTTAAAATTTACGACTATCATTATAAAATTTAGCTATCTTGTTCACTATATATATTTGGCTATGTATCATGAGATTGGCAACTAAAGACAAGTTGTTCCGTTAAATGTTATCTTGCTTTTATAGCGCACTGAGACAATTAAGCCTGAACTGTGTTAGTTATTTATTATACTTATGTTTATTTCCTGCACGTGCTTAAGTCCGAGTCCTGAATAAATAAATTCCCACATATAGTTAAGGGGATAGGTGGCATATCAACTGGCGAAATGCAACTCTTTCGAGACAAACGTTATTACGGTATAACTTTTTTCAAAATAAACGTACTTTCTAAATTCTTTTTTCATTAAAAATAGCTTGTAGATTATATAAAACACATAAAATGTAAATATAAAGCATAATGTTTTTAAAAACGAGTTGTTTATTTTGTCTTACCTTTGACAAATCTTTTGTGACAGTGTGCTAGTTTTGTACACTTTTCTTAAAAACTACTGCATCAAACTCCTTCAAATTTTGCATGATGGTTAAAAGCATATCATTTAAGAGTAATAAGCAGTATTTTACATTTTACTTAAAAAGAAAAAATTTTTAAATAAATTAATAAAATTTTGAAAATCATAGAAAAAAAATAGTATTACATTTTAATATATACAAAATTAACATCATAAATTTTATATCCTGCGTATTTTCAAAGAAATAGCTAAGATAAACCACTGTGGAAAATTTAAACCTTTTAGGCTGAATAGTTTTCAAGAAAAGTGTACCGAAAGTTAAAAAAAAACACATGTTTTGAGAAAAACTCAAAAAAACAGTTTAAACACTAAATAATTTATTAAAAAAAAATAATTTTAACATTTTCCTGCACCATAATCATCTTGAACTGGCATTTCTGCATCTAGTTGTTTTTGTTTTATTAACTTGTTTCTTTCTGGCCATTTTAGAAAGCTTTTGGTAAGCGAGATGAGCCTCACGAATTCTATCGCAATCTATTTTCGCAAAAACTTTACCGTATAAAACCCTGGTTGTATTCCCAATAATTCCATTATTTATTGCGGCTTTGTACACCATTATTAAAACATATTACCGCATCTAATAAACCTAATTTTAATGTGATGACGCTCGCAAAAACAGTGTTTGTTATGAGTGTCCAGATGCAATTATTAAAACATTCATTCGGGTTTTGAGTTGTTGACGTATAGAAGTGCAAGGAGCTCCTGTTGTTGACCAGGTGACAGTGCGATTTAGCTCAGTTCCGCCCTAAAATTTGGTGGAGAGCACCCAGGGGGGAGGACGGGTCCGAAGGTATCCCACCCTTCTTTCCCTACCACCCACTTCTCGAGAGGACTTTCACCTCGCCGCACATTTTGAGTGCTTCCATGCCACATGGACACTATATATTTACAAACATCAATGCCTTCTCCGAGATTCGAGCACGTAAGTCAGCCTCGCTAAGCACTTCCGTCGGTAAAAAAGTATTTGCACACAACATTTTTATTTGCAACTCATAACAAAAAGCATTAAGAAATAAAAAAATTGGTATTGCCAAATCAAAATAAGTTTAATTATCCAAAACAAACAGAAAAATTACAATAATATAAATAACAATGCTTTTTTGTAACAAAATTAAAATATCTCATATCAAAAAAGTATTTGCACACCTGCATGAATACAAAAGAAATGAAATGTACAGTCAAAAGTCATTAAACCATACGCCCATAATCCGGAATGATCTATAATCGGGACCTCAAAGCTACAAACTTTCTGTGCATGCGTAAACGCATAATGCATTCACGCATGCCTATAGTACCTTTACGCATGCGCGTTTAATGTATAACGGACGGTATAAGCTAAGCTAAAATTATCTATTTCAGTTAAGGTTGCAGATTGCGTTGTTCCTTAATCTTCGAATTGGATCTGGCTTATTATTTTTTGCAGACTGTTAGAGCAATTTTATAAAAGTAAGTTTGAACTTGCGATTATGACAGATAGAATTTCCGATGCTGGATACTGCCAAAGGATCTACAAAGCAAAAGCATGTTTCGATGTCCATCAGACAAAAAGTGAAATTGCTGCAAAAAATGGATAAAGGCATATCCTTTGTTTCTCTAACCATTCCGAAACCTGTTTATCAATTTCACGCTGCTCTGCAGGGAAGGTGAACGTCGCGGCGCGCAATGAACTGGATGTTGATCTGTCAGCACTGTCCTTATCTTCAGGGCAGATGTTTTTATTGTTGGCTTTAGTTTTCCACATGCAAATTTTGATCAGAGGTCGATCGGCGGTAAGCTAACGTGGTTGCCGCTGATTGGCCGATGACGTCAAGATCGGCAGGTTGGCCGAGTATAATATATATGTACGCCGGTATTGGCGAATGTTTTGTTCTTGTTCTCTTGTGTCATTATCAGTTAGCATTAGGCTAGTTTTGCTTTCAATCAAATGATTTTAAAATGTAAAGGCTACAGTGTTAGCTCTTTTATTTTATTTATGGAATTAAGCAAGAATTTTATTTAGTTTAGTCTTAGCTGCATTTAAGGGAAGTAAAACATGCTTTGCCTTTATCACCACTGCAACATTTATTTTATTTGGCTTGTAGTTCATTACTAAATGTAGTATTTCATCTCAATGTACTCTGTCTTTGATATGATTTAAATCAAATTCATTATAAATATCACGAATACACATCAAATAGTTTTCTGGTTGCAATTTTCTAATTTCGACTATGCATAATGTATGCTTTACGCATGTGCACGTTAAAAGAAATGTTTAATAAAATAAACAAATAAATATTAAGATTTTTTTTTTTTTTTTTTTTTTTGTAAATTTTGATACTCTTTAGATCATAATTGTTCTTTATTTCATAAATTACGGTTTGATATTTTTAATTTTAAAATTTCTGCATGCCATCTTACGAGATTTAAACTGATGATCTATAATCCGGAATCGCCGAAGTCCCGACAAGTCCGGATTAAAGACTTTTGACTGTATAAGCAAATCTCAAATAACCATTATTTAGTATGCATTTCTTTAGCATCTATTACTGCTTGTAATCTTGCTGGCATTGATTTAAATAATATTTCTGTAACAGTAAGGTCAGTATTCGACCACTCTTCAATAAAGGTTTGTGTAAGGGCAGATTTGCTTGAAATCTTTCTTTTTCTTATTTTTAAATCCAAAGAATTCCACAAATTTTCCGAAGGATTTAAGTCTGGTGATTGTGGTGGAGTGGCAAGTTTTCTGGGTACATTATAAAGCAACTGCATACGTGTTATACCGGCAGTGTGCTTGGGATCATTGTCTTGCTGAAAATAGTACGAATTACTGATACCCAATTTTATTGCACTTTGTGGCAAGTTATCTCGTCACACATCAATATAGGTCCAAGCTGTCATATTCTCATCAGTGAAACACAAATTACCATCTCCTTTGCTTGCCATGCACCTCCAAATCCTAACAGAACCTCCTCCATGTTTAACTGTAGGTAACACATTTTTGGTATGAAAAGCAGCACAAGGTTTTCTCCAAACTAATTTCCTGCCATCTGATTTAAAGTTATTGAACTTACTCTCGTCGGAGAATATGACATTTTTCCAGAAATCAATTGGCTTATTGATATATTTCTTAGCGAATTCAAGTCTCTTCAGTCTATTTCGTTCAATTATGAGATGTTTTTTTCATTGGAGATCTCCCATAAATGTGTGCATCGTGCAGGACATTTCGAACACTTTGGGCACAGATTTGAACTCCAGATGTTGAAGCGACATCATTGGCTAAAGTAATTGCACTAACAAATGGATTTTTCGATGCTTCTCTTATGATTTTTCGCTTCATTCGCAGTGAAAGTTTCTTAGGTCGTCCAGAGTGCAAGTTATTTGATGTAGATCTTCTTTCTTTTCACATTTTATAACATACCAAACAGTAGAGAAGCAAACATTTACTTTTTTTACCTATTTCTCGATAACTTAGGCCATTTTCACGTAGAGAAACAATTTTTTTTTCTCGCAACGAAATCGGCAATTCAGATTTCTTAGGTG